TTCAAGGTAAAATGAATAGAAGTAGGGGAAGGAGAAGAACTTCCTGTCCAAATAACCTGGAAGGCTAGTTTGAATGAGAAAACATAACTGTTTAGAGCTGGCACATCCTGTGTTGATGACAGCTTATGACATGTGATCTCTGTTAGACTTTTTGCAACCTCAAATGCTGCCTGTGGCTTAAGAGATGGGAGTGACCTCTCTGGGCTGGGGTGACTGTCAGTCAATCCAGCACTAACCAATCATTCCTTCCCTGCCTCTGAATTCAAAGAGAGCCCCGCCTCTCTGCTCCGCATCTCTTTCCCTCCATTTTGTCTATTGAAGTCAGTTGAGTTTATTAGTTTGCAGTTCACAATTATAAGTATTGAAACATTTTTATTCTTTCTTCCGCAAATGTCTCAGAGTGAGTAAAATATTTTTAAAAGTAAGTAAGTAAGTAAGTAAGTAAGCAAGCAAGGAAGCAAATAAATAAATAAATAAATAAATAAGTGCCAGTTAATGATAAAGGGGTGAACTTTGGGCGACATAAAGCTATTTCCTCTGTGAGTCTCTACATGTCTATTGTACAGCACAAGGAATTTTACCAGCAGCTCAAAACTCTACAACAACCTCTTCTAGTAGAACAGAAAAATAAAAAGAGAGCAAAGAGACAATGAGCAGTAAGAGGATGGCCAAGTAGACACTAAAGGAGGCATGCTCTTGATAAGTAGCAGATCGAGAGATCAAAGGATCCAAGGGTGAAAATTACACTTGTCACATATTTTTAAAAAGTTTGCTTGACCATCTCTAAAATTCACCCTGCCCATCTCTACAAACTGACATCATACAAAATGTGTTTTTATTAAACTTGTTATCCCAAAACAAACAAAATTAGCAGCAGTCCTTTCCAGATTTCATACAGACAGGCACTGAAAATCTATGAGCCCTGGGATCAAGCACACAACCTATGTGCTAGTCACACTGTCAACAGTATTTCTTTCTCTCCCTCAACCCCAACTTTTACCATTACTTGTTACTGAGCCTATGCAAACCCTAAATTCTAAGGGTTGCCATAATTGTTTTTTCTTTTGGTTGGCAACAGTAAAAGTATACAAAACTATAAATATTTTCCATGTTTAACTTCAAGATTTTAGGACATCATTCCAAGAACACTACTACTTTTTTTCCTTTGAGAGCTGAACCCTTCAGACTCTTTTATCATTATATTTCCAACAGCATTTGTACTTTGCTTGTCTCTTTCACAAGTGTCTGTAAAATGTCCAATAGAAGTGTAATAAGGCAATTGCAACCAGAATGGGAGCCAGGACATTTATCCTGGCAAAAATATTGTCCAGAAAACCATTTGCCAATTGTTTGATTTTCATGCTGAAAAAAAGCATTTATTGTTTGCTGCCTGTTGCTTGAAGCACAAATGTTATCCTACATTAAGATTGTATTCTTTGCAGGGGTCAAGTCTAGAGTTTACAGAATCAATGGGAGAACTGAAAGGGAAGCCATGAGAGAGAAGGTGGTTTTAGATAACATTTAGCATTGTCCAAATTGTCAGCTAAAATGGATAATTTGTGAAATTAAATATTTTCACTTTTAAATTATAATAATCTCCAGCACTCTCCAAGCAAACAATGATGACCTGATCAAATGGACTAGACTCTGTGGACAACCATCTGTCAGATCTACTTTGACTGGGATTCCTGCCTTGAGAAGGGGTTAGATTCAATAGCCTTCTAGGCCCACCTCAATTATTCAGTGATACTATGAAGGTTGAAAAGGCAAATAACCATGTGGAGAAGGGCAATACAGTGGTGCCCCGCATGATGACGGTAATGTGTTCCATTCAAATCGCTGTACAACAAAATCGTTATGCTAAAATAAAAGCCCCATTGGAATGCATTGAAAACCGGTTAATGCATTCTAGTGGGGAAGATACCTGCTCGTGCAGCGAAGATCCTCCATAGGGCGGCCATTTTGCGATCCCTGTCTTGCGGAAATATGTCCAGAAAATAGTGGGGAGCCATTTTGCGAACCACCGATCAGCGGTTTTAAATCGTCATCTTGCGAACAATCAGTTTGCGAAGCAGGGACCTAATTGTCGTTAAACTAAAAAAACCCATAGGAAACATTGTTTTGCGATCGCTATAGCATCGTCAAGCAATTCTGTTGTTTAACGGGGTAAGCGTCTAGCAGGGCACCACTGTAATCATAAGACAAACATCTATAAGAATTTTCAAAGTGAACACCAACCACACAAGTATCAGCCCATTTCCAGTTACAAAGTATTAATTCTCAATTGATACTTCACAATAAAACCCATAGGAAACATTGTTTTGCGATCGCTATAGCATCGTCAAGCAATTCTGTTGTTTAACGGGGTAAGCGTCTAGCAGGGCACCACTGTAATCATAAGACAAACATCTATAAGAATTTTCAAAGTGAACACCAACCACACAAGTATCAGCCCATTTCCAGTTACAAAGTATTAATTCTCAATTGATACTTCACAATACTCCAGTTTGTTGCCATCCTTCTTGAAGTGTGGTGTCTAGAACTGGACACAGTTCTCTAGATCAGTGGTCCCCAACCTTGGGCCTCCAGATGTTCTTGGACTACAACTCCCAGAAGCCTTCACCACCACCTCTGCTGGCCAGGATTTCTGAGAATTGAAGTCCAAGAACATCTGGAGGCCCAAGGTTGGGGACCACTGCTCTAGATGATAACTTTGCTGTGTTAGAAGCTTCACTGTCACTATCTCAGCATGATTTGTGTGGAGCAGAAAAACTGCTACACTGTAACATAAAACAGCCAAAGAAGTATACAGCAGCTGTTCATATTTGTTAGGAAAATCCGGTATAATAATGATGTCATGGAAAAAATCTGGAATCGATTAAAATATATCAGACAGGCAAGCCATTCAATTCCTTGAAACAATACTTTTTCACATTCTACACCATGTACATTATAGTATAAGGTAGCTAGTAACAGATCCCCTTTCAAAACATTATTGAAATGGAGTAATCTGAAAATGCTTCTGTAGTTTTCCTTCCTCAAGCTATGCTCACTACTAGACAATAATTAATGTGCAAAGCTACAAGGTTAGTCATATATCAAGCAAATAGACTGAGATCTACAGGCCACTAAAAATATTAAGATCAACTGGGACTTCTCTTATCAGTACAGATGTAGCTACATGGACAACAAAGGTCTTGGTATGGAGAAGTACTTGTTGGCTTGCTTGTCTTACTGTGAGAAATCTATGAAAACACTAGGGAATGGAAATATTAGTCCCTAGAAGAACATTTTGATCTCTGAACATCACATATATATACAGTGGTGCCTCGCTTAACAGGCGGCCCGTTTAACGATGAATCCGCATAG